TAGCCAATGAGGAGAGTGAGCAATGTCTCCCTGCCCATTCTCCTAGTTAAGGGGTCTCATGACAGGTAAGGTGGAGTGAACACTTGACTGGCTTGGGAATCTACCTGAGGAATTGGTGGAACACACTCAGGGTGTGTCTGGGTGGGCCATGAAGGTGTGATCTTGGGGTCTATATCTGGTCCCTCACCTCTTCCTCTCTGGTGCTATCCCTCTGCTCTGCTTCCTGGCAGCCAAGAACTAAGTATCTTTGCTCCACTATGCTCTCTGCCATGTATCTACCTTGGGGCAGCCAATCATGGGCTGAATCTTCTGAGCTGTGAGCCAAATTAAGCATCTCCTCCTATAAACTGTGAGCATCAGATAATGTGACTCAGCAAGAAAAAGGCTGGCTAATACAGGGCAAGGAAGCCAGGATCCTAATCAAACAGGCCATAGTATTGGTAGCTCTGTCTTGTATGTGGAAATTTTAGAAGAAGTACTCCAGACAGAAGAAGTTCAGTGGTTGGCAGTGGAGTCTACCCTCCTCTCATTCTTTCTTTTTTTTTTTTCGGAACCGAGGATTGAAATCAGACCCTTGTGCTTGCCAGGGAAGCACTTATTCCACTGAGCCATTCATTCTTTCTTAATGAGCTAGAAAAAAAGGAATTAATACACAGAAATTTTAATAAGCAGTCTAATAAAGAATATGGAGGTGAATAATACAGTACCTGAAAGGAAAATATCACTAAGCTGGCTCACATCAGGTTAAAGCAAGAGGAGGAAAATGTAGATATAAAGGCATTATCAGTGAAATTATGCAGAATGCAGAGCAGAAAGAATACAGAATGAAAATACCCTATAATGCCAGTACTCTGGGAGGTTGAGACAGGAGGCTCAAAAGTTCAAATGAGCCTAGGCAGTTTAGCAACTTAGGGAGATCCTGTCTCAAAAAATAAAAAGCATACTAGGGGGTGTGGAGGATGAAAAAAAATAGACAAATAAATTTAAAAAATAAAGCCTCTGGGACCTATAGGAGACCATGAAACATACCAATACATGCCTACTGGGAGTCCTGGAAGAAAGAGACAGAGAAAGAAAACAGAACTCTCCAAATTTAGTGAAAGGTATAAATTTACATGTTCAAGAAACTCAACAAATTTCAACAGACCAAACCTTGTGAGAGAAGATGACAATGATCAAAGAGAAATTTACATCTAGAAATACCCACCTTAACAGGAAACAAAGATCCCATTAACCCAACAATAAACCTAAAGGACCTAGAAAAGAAGACTAAAGCAAATCTTCAGCAAACGGAAACCCTGAAACACCCCCCAAGATTTGGAAGCAGATTTAGTTACATCAATGGGCACTGCTCAGGGTCATTCCCAGAATATCAGGCCCTGATCTCTGGTAGTCTAGAGTTTATATAGAATAAGCAAGCAGTAGAGGCAGAATGGTTGTCTGTTGAGGACTGGTTCTTACAATATGCATTGTAGTGACCAGCTGTGCATCACAGTGACCAGTCCTTTCTAAGAAATAAAAGTGACAAGAACTGGAACTGGAACTATTGCCTGGACAGATAACAAGCTGAAATATCCTGGCTGGGAGGAGCATTTTCTGCTACACTTCCCCTCTCTTTTGGTTTGCCTGGCAAATCTTTGCTGGGCATACCACATGTGATCTTCAGAGACAAAGACCAAATAGGAGTAATAGCGTTGGGCTCTCAGTGGTCCTTGGATGGGCCCTAGCCAAGGTTCTCAAGACTAAAAATTCCTACCAGGAGTTTGTGGTTTGTTTCCCTTGTGTGATTTGTAATGGCCTTACTGGTTATTTTTTATTCTCTCAGGGCAATTGTCCAGAGAGTTAAGGCAGAGCAAGGACTGAGGTAAGTAGCCACAGTTATTCAGGAGGTCCAGTATTGCATGTGGCACCTGGACAGTTAGATCTTGGCCTAAGATGAGCTTGTCAGCTTTCTTGATCAGAAGGATAGTCGCTATTAGAGAATGAAGGTAAAGGGAGGAGGAGTCAGCCCTTAACAACTAGATTTATTTGTACAGTAGGCCACTGGGTGATCCCAGGGGCTGACAGCCTGTGTAAGCATCATCGTTTTTGTGAACTCAAGGATCTAGATTCTATAGAAGCCAGCAACTCCGAGAAATTTGTGGAGTGTCTTTCTTGTAACAAGTTTCTGCCAGATATTGTAGCAGAGCTTGTGTGTCTTTCTAGCAGGCAGTTTGGGTGTCATTAATCAGAAGTTTAGTAGTATTTCTTGCTGGAAAACTGGCAAGGTCAGCTGTGAGGGATTCTGCAAAGAGAACAAATAAGTTTTTGAACCTCTGGGAGGTTGAGTCCAGGTCACTTGAGCTTTGAGTCCAGAACTGGGGTCTTTCTACTTACAGGCTAAGAGGGGCTGGCTGATAGGAGACATGCGAAGGCAGACGGTGGCATTCCTTAGGTCCAGGCAGATGTACCAGCAGGCTGTGGGTGGCAGAGGACTGAGGCAACATACCTGGAGGGTAATGGAAGCAGTATTGGCAGCTTGGAGATCATGAAATGGCTTTACAGGCAGGAGGGGTGTATTGTAGCAGTTTGATTGTAGTGGTTGGTTGATTGATTTTATCAACTTGAGAAATTAAAAGTGTCATTAAATTGGCTCAGCAATTCCACACCCTAGGATGTAAATGCCCCACCCTAGTGTGACTCATCACTTAAAGGATATAAAAGAAAACTAAGGAAGGATGGAGCCTTCTATTTTCTTTAGGGGAGCTCCAGTCTTTGCAGTGAGCTTAGACACTGTCTCCTGGCTTGTAGTGCAGACTCTTCAGCCTCTGTCTTTGATCCTTCAGCCTTCTGGTGTAGACTCATCAGCCTTCCATCACAGACCCACTGGGCTTCTGAAAGGGACTTGCATGGAACACTGCAGTGAGCTCCAGACCTTGGACTGAGTCCTTCGGTCCAGTATACAGATGCCCTCTGCACACTTCCTCATCCAACTCTGTGGCTGACCATCATAAGCCAATCTTGTTATTTCTATACATTTGTACATCTTGTGTTATATCTGTTCCTCTAGTTAAACCTGACTGATACATTGACAGTCTATAGACATTTTGCAGTTTTGAAGCTTTGTATTTTTTCTCAGGGGACCATGATGAAGCTGGAAGGGACAGAGAGACAGGTGGTTCTGGAGCCAAACCTGTTGCTAGAGCCTCCCTGAAAACAGTGGGAGAGTTCCCAAACTCTTGTGGCAATTGACAGTCCAAAGGATGTCTGGGACCACAGAATGCAAGGTGATGGCTGCATTGGTGATGGCATGGTATCTTGGTTACTCTTCTCTCATTGCTGGAACAAATATCTGACACCCAAAATGAAGGAAGGAAAGGTTTATTTAGCTCACAATTAGTGGAGGTTTCAGTTCATAGTCAGCTGGTTCCAAGGCAGAGTGGCATATGGCAGAGACCAACCTTTCATGGCAGCGGCAAAGAGCAAGAGAGCAAGGGAGTGGCACTAGCTCAGGCATCTAGCTAGCCTTTCTTCTCTCCTTACACTGTAATGCAGAGTATCGGCCTCTGGGTGCTCATACTCATAATCCCAGCCTTGGATCAAGAAT